GGTGTTCACCAGGGCTGGACTGGCACAGTCAGACTCCTGGCTCAAGCCCTGAGAGCCAGGGTCCTGTGACTCCAGGCTGTAGAGGATGCAAGCTTACAGCTCCAGGTGCTCAGGCTGGGGGCTTGTTACCCTGGATTTTATCCAGCCACCGGGCACAAGACAGTTGTTGTCATCCAGCAGCAGGCAGCATCCGGGCTGGGCCTCGGATGTGGGGACGCTCAGAAGCTGCAAATGCAAAGGTGTCTGGATGCCTGGTCCTTAAGGTTCGGCAGCATCCTGGAACTCCAAAGACTGGAGCCTGCAGCCTCTCACTTCTGGCTTTCCACAGCGTCTATCTTTAGCCTTGGCTCTTAGTACTCCTACTAGTCCGCAGGCCTCTGACAATGACCCAAGACTCAGAAGAATCACAGGACTCACATCTGTGATCTCAGCACTCAGGCAGAGGCAGGCCCACCTCTGTGAGTTCTAGGTCAGCCAGGCTTACTCAGTAAAAGTCTCTCAGAACAAATAGACTGGGAAAGATTCACATGGCTTGAATTATTTTCATAATAATAGTCAGAATTTTTTATTCTTTTTGTCTTGCTGACATTTACAATGATGATAGAAAGACAGGAAAAACATGAATCAGGCTGCATACAACTATACTTTGTGCAAGTGTGTGTGTGCGTGTGTGTGTGTGTGTGTGTGTGTGTGAGTGTGTGACTATATGTGCCTGTGTATGTATGGGCAAAAGCCAGAAGAGGGAATCAGTGTCCTCCTTACTCACTCTACCTAGTCCTTTGAGGCATGGTCTTTCGGGAACCTGAAGCCAGCAAGCCAGGAGCTCTTCCTGTCTTGTTACCCTTGGAACTGGGGTTGCAATGATAAGATACCAGTTTTCGAGTAAAAATTAAAATATTAGGAAATGCTTACCAGCCCTAGGAGGTGATGCATAGAAATGATTGTTGATGTGGCCCAAGGAACCATCACATTCAAGGCTTAGTGGATAGTGGAGTGAGTCACCATTTGAAAGATGAGCAGTGTTGGAAGCTGCTGGGGGCTATGGTCCCCCGGACCCCAAATTCTCTGTGAGCAGCTTGTTTTTCCTATGCTTGCAGCTGCTCTGCGCAAACAACTTTTCCTCTGCTCTGAGAAGGCTGCAGCTGCTCTGATCATGAGACTCTGATGGCAGGCTGGAGGGTCTGAAGCTGAAACATTAGAGCTGGGTGTGGTCAGAGCACTATATAAGCTTCCCCTGAGCACAATAAACTTGGCATTGGCATTCTTGTGTCAAGGATGACCCATGTCCTCATCTCTTTGTCTCTGTGTCTCTGCATGTTTCGATCTTCAGTCCCTTGCCCAGAGACTCGCGAACCGTAGCAGTAGCGCTAACCATCCTGTAGTGCAGGCACCACACTACAGGAGTAGAACTTTACAGAGCAAGAAAGGGTTTCCTGAATATGGGAGGCAAGTTGTGAGAGCCATTTGGAGAGCAAGGTCAGTCTACCAGTTTTCTAGTAATCACACAAGAAAGCATTCCCCCAGTTGGTGCACACCCCACACTGCAGTTGGGGTTGGGGAAAGGGCCACTCGCTGCCTTTGGGTGCTACAGCAAATGAAAGCATCCAGGACTATGAATGGATGGGGAAACACCCTGCTGTTTCTCACCTCATATCTGTGAAACACCAGATTTTCCTCACATAGGTTCAACAAAAACCAGATATTATGACAGACTGAAGAAGCAGCTGTAAAATATCAGCTGTTTTTAATGAAGCCAGACATTAAAGAGATTTGTAAAAATGCAAAATAATAATTACCACACTTCTCATTGACTCTTCTTCTTCTTCTTCTTCTTCTTCTTCTTCTTCTTCTTCTTCTTCTTCTTCTTCTTCTTCTTCTTCTTCTTCCTCTCCTCCTCCTCCTCCTCCTCCTCCTCCTTCCTCCCCTCCTCCTCCTCCTTCTTCTTCTTCTTGGCTTTTCGAAACAGCATTGCTCTGTAGCTTTGCAACTTGTCCTAGAACTTGCTTGGTATACCAGGTTGGCCTTGAACTCACAGAGATCCACCCGCCTCTTCCTCTTAAGTGCTGGGGGTAAAGGTGTGTGCTATCACCACCAGGCTAAAGACTTTGTACCTATTTTGTGTTGTTCATTTTGAAGTTGGTCAAATATTTTCCTTGCGATGTGCTGTTGAGATTTCAACTAGACCTCTCATTTCACATAAATTTGCTCTCTGATGAGGGCATGACCTTGTACACAGCACATCCTGAACTTCCTGTGGAGGGATGCAGACACAGTTGGGGATGTGGCACTCGGCTATAGAAGCACACGTGCTTCAGGGACCCACTGCAAGGTCTCTCCTTCAGCGTCTCCTACGAAATGAAAGGAAAGGGTCTTCTTATGACTGCAAACTCAGGACTCTTCCCGTTTCCGGTCGAGACAGATTACACATAAAATAGTCCATTACTTTCTTCTTCTCTTCTGACTTTTGTAAATTATTCTTTGTGTTTTCTGTCATATTATAACACTAGTAGCTAAAGGTAAGGCATGTGATAGAATTGTTTGCAACATGTAACAGCAAATGTTCATGCTCCATCTGAATGGGTTTTCAACATGTTGTTTTACTATATTCATTGTTTCTGCTATTGTAGATTCCTGTATGTCAAAATAAGCAAGCTGGGCATGATGACACATGCCTAGGTTCAAACCACATGGGAGGCTAATACAGGAGTACAGTATGTGATAGACAGATAAAAACGACTTGTCACCAAAAACTAAAAGTATTTTTAAACATAGCCGTTCTGCCATCTCTAGTAGGATTCTCCAGCTTATGGTCTTGTTTGGCTGCCAAGTATGAAGAAAGTGGAATGAGAGTCTCATTTTTCAAACCATGAATAAATGTTATGAGAATAATTCTCAGATACTGTTTCAGTTTAGGACATTAAAACAAAGTTACCAATTATTTTTTGTTAAAGCTATTGACTCATTAACACTCATCATGTGTTTTGTTTACAGCTACAGGATGATCCAGAATACAGAAACAAAATTAAGGCACAAGCCATGATATACCCTGGACTACAGGCAATTGATACAGGGATGCCATCTTATCGAGAGTATGAAAATGGTCCCTTTTTGTCAAGGAAGTTAGCAATTAGGTTGTCAATACTAAGTATCACAGAAGACAAAGAAGCACTAAATGCAGTACTGAGAAATGAGCACATGCCTGAAGGAACAAGAGACTTGTTCAAGTTTGTGAACTGGAGTCACTTCCTTCCTGAGAAGTATAAGAAGAACCATGTTTATAGGGAGCCCGTTATTGGGAAGGTGAATGCTTTCGTACCACTACTTCTGGATAGAAGAGTATCAATTTTGTTAGTCAATGACTCCCAGCTACAGAGGATGCCGTTAACTTATGTCCTCACATGTGAACATGACATCCTAAGAGATGATGGACTTATTTATGTCACCCGACTCAGAAATGTAGGAGTTCCAGTTACACATGAACACATAGAGGATGCAATCCATGGAGCCATATCATTTGTCACAGCACCAATGTATTTACATTCAGGTTTGAGGATAATAGATAAGTATATAAGTTGGCTACAAGAAAATCTATAAATCAATCGTACATATAGCTAGGTAGTCAGTTAGCTAGCAATGCTACCTAAAGATTATAATTTAAAGTATTTTAAAATTAAAGAGTTGTTTAAACATGATTTGAACTTTGGATAAACCTAATTTTAATTATGAATAAATATGGTTTAGTATATTTGGGAAGTTACTTAATTTTGATAATTTACAATTCAATAAAATGGAGATATTCATTCTGTTGCCATCTTTAACACCATGAGTAGAGATACTCTCTGAGAAATCAAACCGAATAATTCAGTACTAAAATGTGAGTACTGTTATATTCAAAAGGGCAGGAGATGCAAGGCAGTGACAAGAATGTGGTGATGAATGAGGAGGGAGAACATTGTAGTGGCATTTGTTTGCAGTGATCATTAAACTATTTTGGTCACAAGTATTAGTTGTGTGTTGTTCATACAAAAAAATCAATTTTGTCGTTGTGAATTAGATCAGTATTTATTACATTCACTGTACATGAAGTCTATTTATTGCTTATTACTTACTAATATACTTTTCTGTGTACTGGGCACCAAGGATAACGTCTTCACCACAAATTGTCCCAAAGCTTAAATATTTGAACCTTATTTAAACTTAAGTAAGATCAAGGCAGGTATGCGTAGCAGGCTTTCTTGGACTGCCAGCCCCCAAATTATAACATGGAGACTTGTTATTATTCATGAATGTTTGGCCTTACCTTATCCTTCTCCCACTAGCTCTTATAACTTAGTTTAACCATTTTTCTTCATCTACATTTGCCTTGAGGCTATTAAATTTCTTAAATTCTGTAAGTCCTACTTCCTGCTTCTTCTCTGTCTGTCTGTCTGTCTGGTAGATCCCTGACTGGCTGGAGTGGGCATGTTCCTCTCTTTCTCCGTCATTTTCTCTGGAGCCTATATTCCTCCTCCAACTTATTCTGTCTGCCCACCAGTCCCACCTAATCCTCTACTGCCTAACTATTGACCATTCAGTTTTTTACTATATCAATCAGGTGCCTTAGGCAGCCAAGGTAAAACCAGTGCAACACTTCTTTCCACAGTTAAACAAATGCACCATAAACAAATGTAACACACCTTTACATAGTTAAAGCAATATTCAACAACAGGTGTGAACCTCCTCATTGGCTATCTGATATCAAGTTGTCTACACTAGAATCACATATGTGAAAATAGCACTAAAAGAACTTAGCACATTGTCTTTATATATTTAACCGTGTGTGTGTGTGTGTGTGTGTGTGTGTGTGTGTGTGTGTGTGTGCAATTTGAGAGGGAATAGGGGACGTATAAATTTCGGGGAGAAAATGGAAGCTGATGTTAGGCAATTACAGTTTGATTTTTAAAAAAGCTGAAACTTCCTTCTCTTTTAGGCAATGATTCCTAATCCAAGATGATACCTAGCCAACTCTATATGGAGTCAGAATTATTCATAGTATTGTTTTCATATTTTGAAGTGCATTATTAGCCTACTGCATGCCTGACCTAGGAAGCCATCTGAGCTGATGATATGTAGGCCTACTAGCTTCTGTTATTATGGGGCCCACACCTCTGCCAGTACCAACAAGGGCATAAGTAACTGCATTTACTGTGAGGCGATAAAATCATTGTCAAATCTGATGTCTTGGTATTGCTGTTGTTTCCAAATGGTTGTTTTCACCTGTTTTGCCCTATGGCTTACAGCTGAGCAAATTGGAAAATGATGGATATCTGTGAATTCAGGTGATAAACAACCCTTATCCTCATTACATTCATTAATTTTCTTTCACTGTAGTTTGACATATTTGTCACCTTAACAGTGACCTGATCATTGTTCTCTTACCTTATCATATGTGATTCTTATCATAAGTGTTCATTTGAACAGTAAATTCTTATAGGCAAACCAGGAAAGCTTAATTACTGTTTCTGTATTTTTAATTTTACTCATGATAACTGTGAATTTAAAACATCTACAGTAATCTTTTTTTTCCTAAATTTATAAAACAGAAGGGTTACTAATCAAATAACTATAAACCTGAACTGACAAAATATTTCTTACATTATTTACTTTGGTAGACATGAAATAATTTTCAAATTTCTAGTTAAATAGTAAGTGGGAGGAGGAGAGGAAGTGGAAATTTGGATTGGTATTATTTTTAAAGTAATAAAAATAAGTGTATTAGTGGGTGTGTGTGTATGTGTAACTGCTGATGAGGGCAGGAGAGTAGGTCCAAATGTTGTATGCTTTCACGCAGCAGATATCAAGCAATTGAGAAAACAGCTAGATCAGGAAAGAGGAACATAGGTAATGCCTGTTACTGTATAGGAAACAGGTAAGCATTTAAATATACTGAGTAGAAATAGTCTAAACAGATAAAAAAAAGGGGAAAAGTGATTAAAGACATAAATACAGAGACAACAGGTAGAACAAAAGTTGAGCCCTTCTGGGTAAAATAATAACTATGTTAAAGTATATCTTACAAATTGGCACACAGCAAACATAAAATAGTAATAAAGTATAAAAGAAATATACTAATCATTTCAATATAGATGAGTAATGCTACTCTCTTACTTAAAGAAAACAATTCCCAACATGACTTATAACAAGATCAGAGTCTTTAGGGGTAGACTTGACAATGGACAAATCAAACCAAAGTGTTTCCAACAGACTAAAAGGTGGAAGAGTAAAATTCTGCACGCAGGGAAAGGAGTAGCTAAGATTTACTCTGTTTTCCCACCAAATATAAGCGAAATTAGTGAATGGCACCGATGAATAAATTACAGAGAACCTGAAAGCTGAAGAGAAGCAGAATACCTACCAAGGAGCTCAAAACTCAAAGAACAATGTAATGGTCTGCTGCTCCGGGTCGGTTTCTGTTTAATCTTGCCAAGATTTTGAGCATGAAATACCAGTAACCTCCAAAGTCATGGCCATGGCCAAAACAAATATAAAAAAAAATAACTCTACTCTCTAGCTAAACCAAGAAAAGAGCAGATTAGCTAGATAGAAGTACCTCTAGAAACGAAGAAACATGTTCCACCTACCCCATCCCAAGATAGTCAGGTGGAGAAAAAGACTGAACATCTGTTCTCATGAGCCTTCATTTCAGTAAAGGAACTAAAACAACCATTTCAAGAACATAGAGCCAAACTAGGTGTTAAAACACAGAATAAATACGTTGAAATCAACATTACCTATTTATTGAATTTGAAAGTTACGTTTCTTAAAGATGCTTTCTTTTTTCCATTGTATAATTTTCACTTCTTTTTCAATAATCGGATGTTCATAGGTGTGTGAATTAAAATCCAGGTCTTCAATTCGATTCCATTTGTCAATGTCTCTGTTTTTATGCCAATACCAAGCTGTTTTCATAACTGTAGCTATGTATTAGAGCTCTATGTCAGGGATGGTAATGCCTCCGGACAAAAGGTGTGGCATAACTGGATGTCAACATGTAGAAGAATGAGAATAGATCCGTACATATTGCCATACACAAAACTCAAGTGCAAATGGATTAAAAACCTCAATATAAATCCAACCATACTGAACCTGATAGAAAAGAAAGTGGTAAGTAGCCTTCAATGCATGGGCACAGGAGACCACTTCTGAAATATAACCCCAGAACAGACACTGGGAACAACAATAAATAAATGAGACCTCCTGAAACCAAGAAGCTTCTGTAAAGAAAAGGACACTGTCAAGAAGACACAAAGGCACCCTACTGAATGGAAAAAGACCTACACCAACCCCACATCAGATATAGGACTGATCTCCAAAATATATAAAATACTCAAGAAATTAGACAGTAAAATTCTAAGTAACCGAATTAGAAAATTGGGTACTGAACTAAACAGAGAATTCTCAGCAGAAGAATTTCAAATGGCTGATAGATATTTAAGGAAATGTTCAACTTCCTTAGCTATCAGGGAAATGCAAATCAAAAAAACTTTGAGATACCATCTCACACCTTTCAGAATGGCTAAAATCAAAAACACCAGTGATAGCTTATGCTAGAGAGGATGTGGAGTAAAGGGAACACTCATCCATTGCTCTTAGGAATACAAACTTGTGCATCCATTTTTGGAAATCAGTGTGGCAGTTTCTCAGAAAATTGGGAATCAACCTACCTCATAATCATAAATACTACTCTTGGGAATATACCCAGAAGATACTCAATCATACTACAAAAGTATTTGTTCATAGCAGCATTATTTGTAATAGCCAGAACTTGGAAACAGCCTAGATGCCCCTCAACTGAAGAATGGATAAAGTAAGTGTGGAATATATACACATTAGAGTACTCCTCAGTGGTAAAAAAAAAAAAGACATCTTGAATTTTCCATGCAAATGGATGGAAGTAGAAAACACTATCCTGAGTGGGATAATCCAGACCCAATATATGAATATGGCATTTACTCACTCATTCATTGATTCTAGCCATAAACAAAAGACATTGAACCTATAGTTCATAATCCTAGAGAAGCTAAGTAATAAGGTGAACCCAAAGAAAAACATACATAGAGCCACCTGGAAATTGGAAGACAGACAAAAGTTGGAAGCATGTGGGCAAGAAGGGAGGGTAGAGGAAAGGGAAGAGGGGGAGGGAGAGGGGAGAAGTAGAGGGTTGGGGAGATCCTGGGGGAGTGGGATGGTTGAGATGGTTGAGATGGAGGAAGGATGGATATGGTAGCATAAAAGGAGATACAGTATTTGAGGAAGCCATTTGGGGTTTGACAAGAGGCTTGGCTCTGGAGGAGTTCCCAGGAGTCCATGGGGATAACCCCAGCTAGGACCCTGGGCAGTGGGGGAGAGGGTGCCTGAACTGGCCTTGTTCAGTAGTCAGACTGATAACTATCCTGAATATCACCATATAATCTTCATCCTGTGACAGATGGAGACAGAGACAGAGACCCACATAGGTATACTGAACTGAGCTCCCAAAGTCCAGTTGAAGAGCAGAAGGAGGGAGAATATGAGCAACGAAGTGAGAACCAGGAGGGGTTCACCCACTGAGTCTG